GTAGAGTGTGATTTTATTTTGTGAAGAGTAGTAGTAATGTTTTTAAGTTGTTTAAGATAGTTAATATAGTGAATAATGTTCCAGTTTTTAGTTTGTATAGGTTTGAAGTTAGTAGCTGAGTCAAGATTTTTGATTGCAGTTGTATTATCGATGTAAATGTTTAAGAGAATGTTAGAGAAAACAGCAAATAAGAAAGTGAGAATTGCTTCAAGTTTGATACAAGTTGAGTTAGAGTAAGATTATAAGTAGGGATATTACCCAGGTTGAAAAATAGTGACCCAGGTCAAACCCGGGTAATGAAATGTTGACCCAGATCATGACTCGAGTTAGCAGATCAGATGGATAATTTTAAAGTTTATTCCATATAACAACTCTTACATAAGATTGCCTTTAAATAAAGTTCAAATTAGTAACAGCAATCATTATACAAAAATGGTTATTACTCATTAAAAGCAAAAAATAGGCAGTGAGAATCTTTTTTATGTCTAATACAGTGATATAATAAATTTGTCCAATTCTTATAATTTATTTGGTACATTTTGAGAGAAAAAAAAAATAGCAGATCAAGTAGGTCATTATACAGTAATAAACTTTAAAATTACTCTTATATAAAATTATATAATGGCCCTTAAATAAGGTTCATTATATAAAGTGAATCACCATGACTTAAATGCCTATATTTTATTGTTATTGCTCACTAAAAGCAAGAAATAAGTGATAATGAATCTTGTTTTATGTCTAATACAGCAATGTAATTGTTTGCCAAATTTTTATTATTTATTTGATGCATTTTGAAAAAAAAAACTTCAAGACATCCTTCACTTCAATTTTTTGTTAGGTAAAATGATTTGCCAACAAATTTTTATAAATGATAGTCTTCGCTTATAAATTTATTTAAAAGAAAGGTTTTTTTTTATTAGATTACCACTGAAATTCAGATAGAATTCAATTAATCAGCACCAGCTACTATGAGTTGAACATGAATTTTATAAATCAGTTGCAAACTTTGAATTAACAAATGGCTAAATCATGAGTAACAAATATTTGGATGATATGGTAGAAGATACTAACATAGGAGGGTCAGAATTCAGTAGTATGAAGAGTTTAAGTAGCAATGAAGCTTTACTATAGTCTTCCACATCATCACAAACTAGCAAGCACAATTTGGTTAAAAGACAAAAAAAAAAAAAAAAGACCAGGTGGTAGCCCTGTTAAACCTTTTTTCAAAACTGAGTTAATTAATAATACAGAATTTTGTGTTTGTCACCACAAAGTTTATAAAGTAAGATACCAAAAGGATGGTTCTACTTCAAACTTATGACGACATATAAGAAGTATACACTATATTTCGAGGCTATGATAGAAAGTGGTAGAGTAAAAATTATAACAAAAGATAATGATAAATTTGAATTTTCCATAATGGCTGAGTCCTCACAATCAACAATCATACAAGTGCTTAATAAAATAAAAAAATATCCCTTTAATCATCCCAAACAGAAAAAACTTAATAGCAATACTGCTGCCTTTATTGTTGAAGATCTTCAGCCATTTTCGGTTCTTTAATCACAAGCATTCAAAAGAATAATAGAGGGACTTGATGTCCAAGCCAATGTACTTAGTATAGATCGCTTAAAGGAACTTCTTATAAATAGTGAAGATAAAATTTTAAAAAATATTCATGAGTATGCAATTGATGATAATGAAATTAGTAGTGTCTCATTTATTACAGATATGTGAATCTCAGATAATGGTGATCCTTACATTGGACTTACACTTCATTGGATAAACGATAATTTTCAAATAAAGGAAATAATTGGTACTATTTCATACCTTCCATATCCTTATACTGCCGAATGTCTTCTAAATAAAATAGTTGAAATTTTAGATAGTCTTAAGCTTAAAAATATAACTGTTTGTGGGACAGTTGATAACAGGTCAAATATCAAATCATGCTTAGAAAAATTAGACCGAAAATATGGCATATATAAGGTTTTTGTTTTGGACATACTTTGCAACTTGCAATTAATGATGCATTAAAAAAATGTCCCGAAATTATAAATTTAATAAAAAAATGTAAGGATATAGTATCACATTTTAGTGAAAGTCCAAAACAAAAGCAATTTCTCTTGGAAGCATAAATGAAAATGAATGATTAAAATAAACTTCTTTCGTAATTCATGACATTTCTACAAGGTGAAATTTGACATTCTATCTATTAAAGTGATTAATTATTCTTAAACCTGCTCTGTATAAGTATAAGTTACTTTTAGTTGAAGCCAATGACAATAATTTGCTTAAAAATTATGAAGAAAAAGAATTATTATCTGATGATTGGGATAAGGTAACTGAATTAGTGAAATTGTTGCATCCTTATGAAATTATTTCTAAAAAATTATCAGGTTTGCAATATCCAACACTTTTACAAGCATGGTTTGCAATTACTTTTATTAAGACAAAGCTTAATTGTGTTAAAACAAATGATACTAATGTTCAGAAGTTTCAAAGCTCCCTTTATAAATCGATTCAGACATAATTTTTTTTTATTAAATTTTTTGGAAAATTCAATTTTTATCTAGGTTAAAGTCACTTGATAAACTATATGTATCATTTACATAATTAAAATTATTAGTATTAAGTAATATTACAGGTGACTTTAACTTGGGTAAAAATAAATTTTCTCATTTATTACTAATTTCTTTTTTTTATTATTTTTTTTTTTAGGCATGATTTTTGGAACCATCAAAGCCAATTCAGCTTGCTGCATTTTTTGACCCAAGAACCAAAGACATGCCAATATTTACTAAGAATGAAAGAAGTCATACTATTTTAGAAGCATGTGTTGAATTCGAATTAAATTCTAACTCTCGTAAATTAGACACTTTATCAGATACAGAAAGTCAAATAGATTTGACACTATCTAGTGACAAAATAAATGATGAAGACATTTTTGCTCTCCCAACAGATACTAGTTCTTAAGAAGAATCAAGCCAACAGGATAGTATCAACCATAAGTTTAATTCATACCTTTTATTGCTAAAGGCAACAAGTGAAACAGACATACTTCAGTGGTGGGCATTGCGAAAAAATGATTATCCAATACTTGCAAAGCTTGCTTGCAAGTACTTAACCATTCCAGCAACATCAGTGCCTTCTGAACTCCTTTTCTCATCTGCAGGCCTTATCATTACTGACAATCATACATGTCTCGATCCTCAATTTGTTGGATCAATCTTGTTTCTTAAAGTAGCTTTAAAACTTTAGCCAGCTTCCTACATTTTTGAATAAGTAATAAAAAAAATTTTGAGTTAAACTTCTTGAACTTGATTAATCATTAGTTTAAATATATTATTAGAAATTGAACCAAATGCTGAATTCACACTAAGAAGTAAAGAAGCAACTTATTATATAATGGAAATCATCTAGAGGTTTAAAATCACCTGGAGGTTTAAAATTGTCTAGAGATTTAAAATTACATAGAGGTTTAAATAAAATTACCAGATTTAAAAAAATCTAACATTAACCAAAAAACATAATTATATTAGGTTGTATATAAAAATTTTAAAAAAGGTTTATTATTAAGCGAAAAAAAGTGTGATAATTGAATTAGTAATCTATCAGATATTTTATGTCTGAAATTCTCTTATTCAAAGGACAATAAAAATAAATATTTTATATATAAGTAATGATAATAACAATTATCTTCATAATGGATATATATGTAAATCATTTGTTTTTAACATTTAATATTAAGCAGGATATAAAGTATATAAATTGATATGAATTAAATAAATTTTGGTCAATTTTTATTAATCTAGTGTGGCTTGGCAAATCGGCGAGTCTGTCGCTAATTCCTTCCAATTCTCATATAACCTATGGCGGCTAAGTCGAAATAGGTGTATTAGATTTGGTTGGGTGGTTTATCTGTAGGTAAGTACTACTCTTCTCTTCTAAGTATTTTCTTCAACCTATTCTTCTTCTAACCTTTGCCTTCTTCTTTTTATGTTCTACTTCTTCAACCTGAGGTTATGATACATCGAATCGGGTCAGAGTCCTTCTCGTGCATTAACAGCTTGGTCACATGACTTGCAATGAATAATCAAAATGCGGTTTAGGGATTTATAAATAGGCAAATAATATTTATGACAATGGGTTTTAACGATAGTTTTAGTTTAAACTAGGTTATAGTTTACTTTTAATACGGGTCTGATACTTTAAGTTTCTTATGCAAAAATGTATTTATTCAGGGTATCGCTTTTTTTTCTTCCCCTTGGGTGGAATGCCCTTTATTTATAATAAAAGTTTTATTTACAATTGAGGTTAATTTTCTCTCTATTATCTGTTTATACAATTTCATTATTAAAATGCATTTCCCTTCCATCCTAAAGAAAAACTGAATGTACTATATGCTGTCAATCTACCTGAAGTTATGAAAGTAATAAAAGTAATAAAAGTAAAATAAATCTTACTTTTCATGTGACCAATTACTTGGGTAGGCAATGGGACCTAATTTCGACAATCGATTACATGTCATGTGTGACATGATAATAGTGGTACCGATTCTGAGGCTCACACTAGATTCTGACCTGTTTGACCCAGATTAGATCAAAATTTGACCCGTGACCCATCGGGTCAGGTGACCTGTATGGGTCACCTGACCCAGGTAAGATTCCTAATTGTAAGGCTGCATTGAATTTTATAGATATATTATATTTGCAAATCCATCCTATACCACATTTGGTTTCTGGAGTTTGAAGATTTTTGATTGATATATTAGTATAGAAATGTAGTTTGTTTGTGTTAAATTGGAAGATGAGGTGATTTAGATCAGTTAGTTGCTTTTGATACATATTAAAGAATATTCTTATACAAAAATATAGATAAAGACAAATAACATCAAGTTGCAGACCAGTAATCTCAAATCTTAATAATAACAAGACATTACTTACTATACAAACTTTAGAATTACTAAAACTTTCTCAACACAAAATCCAAAACAGTATATGCTTCTTTATACTTCTTATATTTTTAATTTTTAAGAAGTTTGAACTTATTTTAGTAAGCTTTTTTGCCTATTTCTTTACACTGCTTAAATTACTTATATTAATTTTAATTATCACATATATATTTTCCTTATCACTACTGTCTTTATTAAGTCAGTTTTTTTATAATACTACTATTACAATATTTCTGACATTAAAAAATCATCTTTGTGTGCCAATTTTAATTTAAATTCTTTACTATTTATTTGTTCTAATTCTATACTTAACTTTTTTTTTATTAATTTTAATGTTATTAACTCTTTATTTGCATTTGTATTGTCTTGTTGTTTGTTGTTTGTACTACTCTTTTATACTTCTATGTTTATATGCTTTGTATAATACTTATATATTTATTTTTGTTTATATTTACATGTTCTTATTTGTTACTTTGCTATATATGCCTTTGTTTATTTATGACTTTATATAACTAATAGATTTGCAGAAACAGAGTCAAGATGTATTTCACTTTTACAAAAAATTTTTGCAATTTTGTTAAAAATTTTAGTTTTTTTGCTATTATCTACTGCTACCCTAGTTTATTTCTTGTTTTTCAACTTAGCTAACTGTATTTTATAAGCCTTTATCTTTTTTCTTAGTGTTCTAAATACTTTTTTCTTAGTGTCTAAATACTGTTTACTTGTGTCTTTTGATGTTATTTTGTTTTTTTTTTTTGTGTTATAAGCGGCAATCTTGCCTGTCTGTCTTTTATTGAGTAATATCTAGTTATTAATGAATAC